TGGGTTCAACGGGCACTGGATATGGGTGTCGAGGCATTAAGAGCAGAATATCGAGCACTAGCCAAGTACACCCTTCCGGATATGACTTGGGAAGCTTCAAAACAACCACGAAGCTGGCAGAAATAGGTGAAGTAGTTCTTGCCATACAACTTTCTGCACTGAGCGTTTGCAATTTAGTCGACCATTTTCAGATACCAGGATGTGCCGTGTCAGGACCAACATCGAATCGTGTTAAAGTGGCCCGGTGCCCCAACCGATTACATCCATGCGAACTACGTAGGAACGCCAGTATCAGACAAGCGATTCATCTGTACGCAGGTACGGAGTCTCTCTGCACAGCTGCAATAGCACCCTGATAGATAAAGTAAGTGCAGTCACTTCAAGGGACCTCTCGACAACACGGTCACCGAGTTTTGGATGATGGTACTGCAGGAGGAGTCAGAAACTATTGTTATGCTCTGTAATTGCATAGAAACGGTCAGTTTGGTTGAAACTCGGATAACGAGGTTCTTTTAGGTTTCAGCAATCAATAGGCCTGCTTTGAGTAGTACGACATGGAATTATGCAGTGACCTGGGCTTGACCAGGACGTGGTGAGCATTGCATGCAACGGTGTGGACGCAGCTTTCGTGACCATGGCTTTACCCTTAAAATGCAGACAGTCGGAGTCGCTTTTGGCTGCTCTCGCAAAGCAGATAGTCTTCACGCGACTCTGATTGTTAGCGCCGTAAGGCTGCGTTCATACTTTGCGGCAGCGACCAGTAGTGTCCCCCAGCGTTCCAGACATCCGGCAGCGCCAGCGACTAAAGAAGTGTAGACATCGGTTTAGCGTGTGCCAGCGTCTGCCAACGTCCACCAGCGGCCGGCATCGTCCAGGAGTGGAGAAGTATGGCGCTATAGGAAGGTAGCAGACAGCTGGTAGAGTATAAGAAGCTATAAGGGTAGCAGACTGCTGATGGAGAGGATGGCGCAATAAGAGGGTAGCAAACAGCTGCTACCCTCCTATCTCCCCATATTCTATCTGCTATCTGCTGCTGGACAATGGTAGTCGTTGCCGGACGCTCGGAATGCTGGTGGACACTGCCGACTAGTACGAACATACCGTAAGCCTTGCTTAGGAGAAGGGACATAGAGGCGCAGGGAGTTGCATTCTTTCTATCTCCCTCCCGAATTAGCTTAGCGCCAAAGCTTCTAGCTTCATTTCTGATTATAAGCGATTCCGAGAGCAACAGTGGTGCAACTGTGAGGCTACACACTTGCCTACCTTTTACACGAACTGGATTCACCTCTTAGGTGATCGCATAATTTTTAGGAGCAATCACATTGTTCTTGTCATTGAAGGACAAGTACTGCGCCCATTTAGTGTGCCTTACTTAGACAAGGTAGTCCTATGCGTAAACACAGGGATGTATCACTTTCGCGGGTGAAGAATGCAAGGTAATGACGCGACTCGATCGCCACTACGGCGACTTTCCGCCCAGTGCCCATTGCAACACCCATCGTTTATTCCCTAAAAGCTTCGCTGGTGATGTGGCGGTTAATATCGGCGCGCTCACCTGTTTCTATCCAAATGTTGAGAGTGAGGTAAATGAGTGGGAAACAAAGCTGATTATCGTCGTGATACACAACGTAAAAACTCGTCCCAATGAACCCCTCTCTTCACTGCAGCTTTTCAGATATGCTCTCATTTTTCTTCTTGTATTTATCAAACTGCTTGCGGGCTTCAGCATTACCCACCGTTTTTATCACGGGACTATTTCAAAATGTTCATGTTTAGGGTAAAATTAAGTGTTCTCCATATTGGCCAGACAGTGTGGGTCAAACGAAAACGTTTTCTGGAATTGACATTACTAATCTGCATGTAGGTTCTCACTTGATATTACTTCAAAAATCTCGTATTCACTGAAACAATAACTGATGAAGTAGATAACTCAGAACGTTACTTTCCCCATCACTCCTTGCATATTTTTGGTTCAGCTCGGAACCATCCCATTTAGGCAGCGTTCAGACTTCGCGATGACGTGCGTCGACGCGCTGCAACGCACTGTAAGACGCTGTAACGCGCGTTGGCGCGCTACAATTGCAATAGCCTTCCAAAGCTGTAGACGGGAACGCAACCGCCAACGGCTGGCGGCTATCCGTCTGCAAACGGTCGATCGACGTGCTACAGCGCGTCGATGCGCGTCATCGCGGAGTCTGAACGCTGCCCTAGACGAAATAGGAATCATTTCAGATACGGCCGATGTCTCCTGAAGAGCCGTCTATTGCTCTCAGTGTACTCAGCATTAAATTTACTAAACCAGATGGCAACCACGAAACACGGGAAGTCCGACACTATCAGTGGTTGGATTGGCCTGATCGGGGTGTGCCACCATGTCGTCTCACCAGTATGGTACGTCATCAGTATGAGCTGAAGTTGTTACTTCTCAAGGGGTAACGGTTGAACTTGCAGGAACTTTTGTCACGGATACGTGGAACCAAAAAGCCAATAATTGTGCACTGCTCAGCAGGAATCGGACGGACAGGAACAATTGTCGCTATTGAGTATATTTTAGGTAGGAACGCTTGCTGTCAGAAACGATCCGAAAACTCACGAAAATAGTTTCAGAACGGATGCAAGCAGGAGTTGAATGTGCAAATATGTGTGACTTATTGAAAGAGCTTCGACATTTCCGGGCATTCTCCATACAAAACGACTTGGTACGTCTGAAAGAATCTTCTCCATCGGTCACAAAAAAAAACGAGACAAACAGACTGCATTAAAAGCATGCGGCACTTATTCCACAATAGCAGCAACCTCTATCTCATACCTTTAGCTATTGACCAAAATCTAGCGTAACTTTAGAGACAAACTGTACGATTACTAGAGTAATGGAGTCTCCTCATGTGCAGCCTAGGCAGGTCCGCGCTTATACTAGCACCCTTAGAAAGCAACGACCTGGTGCCAGAGCACGCTAGGTTAGAACCCCGCCGCTAAAATGTGGCAAGGAAAATGAGACTATACAAACATTGGGGAAAATGGCGAAAAAATTGAATGAAGGCAGTCGTATTAACCAAACGTACAACTCAAAAAGCCTTTGCTCCTTCACGACACCAGGCCACCCGGGCTCGAAGTTCCTCACTTCATATGCAAGAGTCTCCTTCGCTCTCACCGTTTGTACAGAATCCCCGAGAACGCGGATATAGGCTCAGCTAAGGCACATTTGTGGACCCGTGCGCAGGAACGCCGGTGTTGTAGGCTGTGTTTTGCTCATACATATTGAGGCGGCAGCGTAGCGTAGCGCTTCAGCGCGTACGCCCAGCGCAAGTGCGCGAGAGAGGATGCATATCTGATCTAGCGTGTGCCAGCGTCAAACCCAAGCGTCACGGCTTTAGCGTTCTGTCTGCGCGTTGTCTGCCGAGGCGTTTCACCGCGAAGCCGGTTTGAATTGTTCCCTCAGCGTTTTGCAGGCGGCAGTGGAGTATCAACTATGGGGAGAGCCATGGCAGGGTACAGAAGCACATCAATTGGCGGCGTTCTCTTCACAGCTCGCCACTCCCAGTGCTCTACAATAGCGTCGTATTCCCCGTTCTCGACGCGGCCACATAGGTCTCTAGCAACATCACATCGATTTGTCTGCGTCTCTGACGGCTCACATCAGTCTCTAAGCTTGCCTTGCCCCGTGCAACAGCGCAAAAGCAAACGCCGGTGAAACGCTGAACAGAAACGAAACTGTCAGCGTACGCTAGCGTGACGCTGTGACGACCCTGGAACGCTGATCGATATGCTATCCTCTCCCACAGCATCTGCCGGTCCTGAGGCGTGCGCTCGGAGGCGCTCGCTATCGCTGCCGCAAAGTTATAAACGCAGCCTGAGTGACACGAGTCGTATGTTCAGCTTGGTAAGGCATCGCATGCGGAGTTTCCAAAAAGGTCCATACACAATCTATTTTCACGGATGGGGTTGTAGTAAAGCTTTGCGACATACGGCTAGTAGGTGAAGGGAACGCGTTTGCAACAGAGCGGATACGTACCGCCGTGATACTCGCGCTAGAAGCCCGGCCTCCCAGGTCATCTCACTGCGCGTGGGCCGACTTTTATCTAACTGCGCGGCGCTAAGGCGGGCCGAAATATATAGCTTACCGAAATGCATAGATCAAATGCCTTAAAACCCGGTTGGGGCGACATGTCCCTGTGGAATAGCGTGTACACCCCGGGAGAACGGCGCAAGACAATCAATTAATATAACCGTCGTCGGCGGCGTGTCCAATCGGTTACGGCGGCACGCGAGCGCGAAGGCAATGTGTTGATGTGGCATTCGTATCGATAAGGCAGTGAATAGCACATTTGAAATTCAAATTACAAAATCCCATGAAGTGATCTTGGAATTGTCCAAACGTCCTCTCCCCGTGGACTCTTCCCCATGATTGGAAATCGGGTAGAAGAACAAGCCCCTATCCACACGTGTGTCGTTCCGCGGGCGTACGGCTGGATAAACCTACCTGAGCGTGCAAAACTTGACTGTTTTGTCGACGTACCGCGTACCGCATACACCCCATCAAGGGGCACTCGGTAGCCGTTAGTCACGCCAAGGCTCAGACCTTAACTCTCAAAGAGAAGCCTTACACTCACCCCGAGGATGATTTGTCATGTGTGAGGCTAATGGGTCCGCAGCTGGATTAGCAATCCACTGTTCACTCGTCCAATTAGTGACGAGAGCTCATAGATGTGGAAACCCCGATGTGCCGTCCCTCGCGCCCGCGGCTGAGTCCCCAGGTCGAGAGTGTGCCGCCAGAGCGTCCCAGTTGCGCAAGCACCTAAAGTTCCAAGCAAGAAAAGCCCGAAACCTACGTACTCGGTAGAGGAACGATCAGAAGTAAGGGGGCGCAGACCAAGTTAGCGTGTTTTGGATATCTCGAGATACGTGCGTGGTCGTGAACGGCTTGCGGTCGAGTATGGAGACGACACCCTGGTATCAGTACCCTACACCCCGTTTCCGTGCACTTTTTACTAGTAAAGTGGTACGCTACTGCGGCGCTGGGCCCATTCTTCCCACAGTCCATGCTTACAGATAGTAAAAGCAGGAAAGCAACAACAAAGCTGCAGGAGGTCCAAATTACATTTTTGTGGTAATCACTTGCATAATGTGTCAGTTGATCATCATCAAGTGATCTTTTTCAGCAATATCTCTACGTTCATCGCGTCATGTTCTGTTACTTTCTTGAAAAACACAACGTCAGGTGTGTATCATCAAAAATCCTTTTGTAGGGATCGTGGTGAATGTGCACGCCATAGACTGTTTCTTGGGACTCTTCACTTCGATGGTCGCAGGATCAGAAAATTAGATGCCTAAAGACGCGTGGTAGTGGTACACTTACCTGCGTGATGGGTCCATACAAAGGAGGAAGTGAGCGGGTCAGCACCTAAATCACGTAGCGTGCAAAAGTGCGCTAAGGCTGGAATGTAGTGAATACCGAGTTTCCATCGCAAACAGCATGACTGGCAAGCTTTCTATCGCAGCCAAGTGTAGAGAACAACTGCTCTCTGATCAAAGGGGGAGGCGAAGGTAAGAAGCGCGAGTGGCTTGACCAGGCGTATAGCTGCTAGTGCCGCGCACTTTCCCTGCAGGTGCACCCTCAAATGGCATTCAGGTGTTCTACCCTCAGCCTCCTTTTCGCGCACTTTCGAGTGACGAAAGTGGCACATTTTCACGGACCCGTTCGTCTCGCAGAGACCAGGACCCCATGACTTGGAGGGACGGCGTTTTTACTGACCTTATGGAGATATGCGACGGTAGGATCGTCAGGCGCTCAATAAACTGCTACAGTACCTTGGCAATGTAGTGTGCTGGTCTACCGCTTATTACTTCATTGAATCAATACTACTCAGACCACATTTAGTTCATATTCACTTGTGTAGAGAGATAAGAAGGTGACCGACGGCTTCTTGCCAAGGGTTTTCATCTCACTACTACTACTACATGAATTCACTGCCTCAGTACAACGTGAGCGGTGAACTGAGCGTTTGGACCAGAAACCAGGTCACGAAAGGAGAGGGAGAGCACACAGGCAAACGGAACTGCCTGTGTCTGTGCGGATTGCTATGACTAAGACCAACCGCTGCGTTCACAGGTTGCAGCAGCGTCCACAAGCGATTACCAGCGTCCACCGGCGACCATAAGTATTCAGAGCGTCCCCGACAGCGACTAGGAAAACATAGATAGCGATCTAGCGAAAGACAGTGTCCACCAACGTCTACCAGCGTCCCCCAGCAACCATCAGCGTCTCGAGGGATTGTGAAAGTATGGATGTTGATTCAGCGTAAAGGCATCTATCAGCGCCCACCAGGAGTTCGGTATTGTGTAGTAATACGGTGTGGTTGCACACGCTACAATTTCACGACGCCTAATCCAGCTGTCTCCTCCCGCATACAAAAAAATAATAAAAAAAATTACCCATCATTACCAGCAGTCTGCTGCCCTCCTACTTCCCCACACCACCGTGATCGTTGATGGACGCTGGTAGATGCTGCCTTCCGCTAGATCGACATCTATACTTTCCTAGTCGCTGACCCTGAGTATGTGGCAATTTGGCGACAGTTAGGCGTGCGCCTTTGCACAATGACATTTAGAACGTGAAAATGAAATTTTCAAAGAAACTAGTGGTCTTCATTCTTTTGTCACTATTTACAGATATGAGTATATTTTGACTGAAGAAAACAAAGCCAAGTATGCGAAGTTTATCAGCGAATACAATGCCGCCACTGGTACCAGTTAGCTGTCGCAGGCGACAATGGTTTGGCAAAATCGAAAAATTAATGGTCAACATTTTTTTGCTCGCGATACAATAAATGTATGATAGTGCTCCTATCCACAAATAATTAATAAATAAATGAATTAGTTCTGCGACGTCTCTTCCATTTCACAAAATAAATAAAAACGTTGAATACATGTTATACTTTCACTTTTAAACAGTGTGAGATTGGCTGGAAAGAAGATAGCTGGAAATGGTGCCCCTTCTAACCCGAATACAAGTTCTGGCTCCATCAAGTCTAAATGTGCTTGAATGCATTATTATCTCACAACTGGCCGGTTTCCAGATGTAGAGTTAGGGTAGTCGCAGACGCCTGGCTAGCACGCGTTCAAGTACTGGACAGGAAATATGTAGCTCTCGCGCCTCGAATTCCTCTGGGTTAAAGACAACTCCCGCGCTCAAGTAATTCATGGTCATCGTTCCTTGTGCCAACAGTCGTGCCCCCTAGCTAAGAGACTATGTCCCTTCTTGCGACTACACAACGAGTGAGGAGGGTCCCACAGCCGCCGAAAGTTCTAGTTCTAACACCCGCTCAGAAGGACCGTCCATCCAACGAACGTCTTTCCACACCTAAAGCAGGGGCGCTCAGTTGTTGTTTGTTGAGCGGCGGAAGAAGTGCTTTTTATTTTAAGCCTGAGCCTGCCTGGAGGGAATCGCTTCTCCGAAGCTCAGCTTAGCAGAAGTCTCAATGATGCCGGCACTAAAACGACTGTGATACCCGTGCCTACGATGCCAATTAACCCCCGTATACAACATGTCATCGATTTCCGGCGACAAACTGGCGCCTGATGGTGCCGAATGGCGCCAGCGTCAAAATTCAATGCCATATTCGTGATCAGGTTCTACAGTCAACGTTCCAGCAAAAACAATTCTTTTCAGTTCTTGGGGTTAGGAACAGCTCAGTAGGGCTGGAAATTCTAAATGGAAACTACATTAAAATGAATAGTGCCCTAAAAAGGAATCCATCAAAGT